GAACCGGTCTGTATGTGGGACCCGACCCCTCGGCGGGAGCGCCGCCGCGCTTCCCAAGTGGCGCACTGTAGCAGTGCGCCACCGGGCCGGCCCTGGTTGTTTAACTTTTAAACAATTTATTTAAATGGAAATATATGCACATGGGAACATTTCACAATGTATTTTATCAAGTGGTAGCACACTCCACACACTGACCTGTACCTAGCTCGTTTTACTCTATGTGTCTTACAGACAAAGACATTCTGTACAATACATGCAGAGGTGACTCATTCTTTTTAACAATTGCATTAAGTTTGTAGTATGTTGGAATGTCTGTACCATAATTTATTTAACCAGACGTTATTGATAAACACTTATGTTGTTTCCAGAGTTTTTGCTATAAAAAAATAATGTCATAGGTATAGAATTTTTGTGCTCATGTGCTGATGTAGTTATAAGATAATGACTGAATTTCAAAGCAAAATCCAAAATCAGAAAACATACTTTCTGTTGCTACTCATAAGGTCTGGCATGGACAGAATGTCAAGATGTATTCTTATCGATGGTCTAGTGATGATTTAGCTCTTGCTAAATTATATCATAGGAGAAAAAAGGAAATATGGGCTTATCCTAAAAATTTCATAGTAAATAGTAATCTCTGGCATTCAGTTAAAGGTAGACTTGCTCTAATTACTTGGATATTAAAATAATTATTAAATAAAACACAAATCTTTCCCCCACCCCTTTTCTTATTTTGCTAGAAGAGCTGAGTACTTCAAACTTGTTTAATCTGTTGATAGGAAGGAGGATGAAGATATTGTTTAAAAGAAAAATAAAAAGCATGCAGCCTATTATTCATATTTCAGCTGACCAAAACACTTTATGGATTTTTTCTCGTGGCAAATCAAATTGCACTAATTCATTCATGGAGTCAGTAACATAATTACACAGTTGTGTTATCGGTTTTAGTATTTCTAATTGCATGGTCAAATTAGCACTCACTGCCACTTATGGAAATTGCAGGGAAAATCATTAAATTTTGCTTCATTTTTAAATTGGCTATATTATCTAATCTTATCATTCTACCAACTTTTTTTTATAGTTTTAAAGAAAAATAGACAAGGCTACGATTAGGTTTATTAATGTCTTCCATTGAGTCCTGTGATTATAATTTTCATACCTGCTAAAACATTACTTGGAATACAATATCAAAATATAAAATAAATACATTACTCATTTCTACACTAAAAAAAGCAGAACATAAATAATCTACATAATTTAGGCATCTAATGTTTGTACAAAGGTGTGTACATATGTGGGTCTTTATATGTTTGGCATAATGGTGACTGCTTAGCACTAGTCAATCACATCAGTAAGCTAGGACTACAATCAACGTAATGTTAGGGAATTTTAATTTAATGAACAGTTATTGAGGAGCTTCTGGATAACTGAACACACGAGGTTCCTAGAGGGTAGCAAGCCTGGAAGGGCATGGAAGCTCTGCATCCCTTCCCCCGTACCTCGCCCTGTGCATCTCTTCATGTGTATCCTTTGTAATATCTTTTATAATAAATGGGTAAACAATCAGAAATACATCAAGAATTGTGTGTGTGAGTATGTGTATGTAATATTTGATTATTCAGCACATCTTCACAACCAGATATGTTCCAAGAGCCAACTCCTTGAAGGAGCAGATGACAGTGAAGGCTCTGATTCCAATTTCTTTTGGTGCTTCCAGCACTAATTGGTCCATGACCTGCAATGGTCTGAGCACCAACTGTACCATGCCCCTCTGTGGTCAAAATAACAGCCATGCTGCCTCCCAGCCAGTCCCCTCCCTGCTTTCCAAACACCGCTGTGCCCTCATGTGTTGTCTCCACCAGCAGCCTGAGCATCCGTGGTGAGGCATCATCGCTCAGAGGTCCACAGGTAGGCTGTGGGGCAATTTCTTCAGACACCTGAGCAGTAGCCATAGATACCACCCTCAGAGTTTCAAGCACCAGTCCTACAAGGGCTTCTCCTTCAGTCTTTGACTTCCTGATAACATTTTTTCCATTTAGTTTCCCCAGCCTGAAAGGTGCTGATTGTTTTTGATCTCTGATGTCACTTTTACCTCTTTGCTCTTTCAGACTTTCAACACTCATGTAACTAATTGTCTTTATTATATATCCTCTGCTTGTAATAAAACAAACAAACAAACAAACAAAAACATTTATTGAGCCTGCCTTGCTCAGTGGGCACTATGCTGGCATATAAAAAGATGTACACAGTATCAGTCTCTAACTTCAGCATTTAGCAAGAGAGATAATAAACAAACATTAATGCTGGTAGTTGGTTTAGTGTAGTGGTTAGAAACATAGTTTCTGGAATCAGATAGACTTGGGGTGGAGTTGTGGCTCCCTCCATTTGTAACTGCATCAGGGGCACAGGATATAACCTCATTGATAGTATAGAGAGAATATAGACTTTAGAATGCATGTGTGAGAATAATGGATGCATTATAATAATACTTACCATTATATCTACCTCACAGTAGATATTAAATTTTAGGTTTTTACTATTGGACAGTAAAACATATATATTGTAATATATATGTTAATACCTGACATCAGATTAAAATTAATTAAATCATCCTGTAGCTGCTCAGAAAAAACTTCAGAAAAGAGGTGGTATTTGAATCATCATCTTCTCAAGGCCCTATATTTCAAGGAAAAGAAAACTGTTAAACTGGAGAAAGCAAAAAGAAGACATGAGTTGGGATGATACCTATCATGAAAATCAGTATGGAAAACATTCTGCAGACTGGTCACATTAGCTTGCTTTATGATTTCTGCTCCATTGTAATTTACACATGTCTATGCTTGGCATAGTGACATAAGTTCTGTCCCCAGTATAAGAGACCTCGCAGCTCAGTTCTGCTCATCAAATGGCTTAGACTCTTAGAGACTCTTTCAAATTCCTGGTTGGGTGGTAATTTACACATGTCTATGCTTGGCATAGTGACATAAGTTCTGTCCCCAGTATAAGAGACCTTGCAGCTCAGTTCTACTCATCAAATTGCTTAGACTCTTAGAGACTCTTTCAAATTCCTGGTTGGGTGTTCTGATTGGCTTAGCTTTGATCAGGGGTTCACCTCTCCTGCAACTGGCTATCCTGGCTACACAGTTCCTAACATATAATCTCAGCTGACTACATCGAGTTCACCTTTGATAGGAATTATGGTAGCTCTACAAGAATGTGTATAGGTACAGGCATCATGTCAACTCCACCACAAATTAGTTTTTGAAGGATGAGAAAGAGTTCAAAGTAGAAAAGAAAGACAAGAATACTGGAGACAGAGAAAGCAATGTGATATGGATTGTGTCCCCCACATTTTATGTAGTAGTAGCTCGATCCCCACTAAAACTGATAAGAGGCTGGGAAATCCTGTTCTGGTAATTGCAAGGTGGAGCCTTGAAGAGGTGATTAGATTGTAGGACCATGCCTAGTGAATGGATTAAAAATGGTGGTCATGGACGTGGTTCTGAAGGCTTTAAAAGGAGAGTTCATGAGGAGCTATCTCTGCTTTCACCATCTTGCAATGTGAGACCCCTGGGTCACTGTCACTACCACCAGATGTGTCCCTTGGACTTT